TTTTCACATAAAACATTCTCACCATTCATGTTAGGATCATTTTGCAAATTATTAGAAAAAATAACTTCACACAAATGCATTCAATTGCTCATGTATTCTACCAAAATGAGAAGCCAATTCATCTATTCTTTCCTCAATTCTATTAAAACGGTCGGAAGTTACATTAGCTAACTTTTCTATGGCTAAATCAAAGTGATTAAAAGAATTTTCTACAGCTAGCTCCCAAGAGGCATTAAAATAATTAGCTAATGGTTCACTTTCTAATTCCCAAGATAGAGGTGCGTTAGCTAACTTCTCTATTGCCAACTCTCAAGATGGTTTTGATTCATATTGGACACTTTCAGGTTGGTAATCATAAAAATTTGGAGAATCACTATATGCACATTGATTATCCCAACCATACATATGAGAATGGCTCCAATTAGCACTGTATTGATTAAAACAAGGATTGTAATGCTCTAATTCATCATAATAATCCACATTTTGTACTTGCATGCATGTACTAGTAGCATGATAACCTCCACACAAGTCACAAATTACATGATAATAATTAAAAGCATTAACATTCCTCCTTTGCTCAATTTCATGCATCATGGTATCCATTTGAACTTGAAACATAATTATATCAAATTTTGCCTTTAAGCACTTTAAACCATCTTCAAATGACATACCTTCAGTAAATTCTTGGTTATCTCTGTTGAAGGAGTTTTGTATTTGGTAACCATCCATTGCCAATCTTTCACTTCTCAAGCATTGTCCTCCAAATTGACCTACCCTCCTCATTACCTAAAATTGCTTTTAAATAACTTAAGAGCAAGAGTAGTAAGAAGAATAGGTAATAAAACACATTTACACATAAAACGCTAAAAATAACAGAAAATAACTTCAAACTATAACTAATAAAATGTCTAAACTAATAAAGTTGCTCTTCACACCGATATTGCCAAATCTTCCCCGGCAGCGGCGCCAAAAATTTGACGTGCGCAGGGTATATATACACAATTAGTTCATTCACAATCAAGTTTTACATTTATAAACTCCTAAACACCCCACACACAATTTATCGTAAGTATACGAATCGTGAGCAAGTATAGGGTATTAAGGGTCGATCCTACAAGGAAGATTGCAATTACCGACACTACTAAAGCTTCTCTATTATTTGGACTATCAATGAATTATAATAAGTAAAACCTACTGAAGTTATACAAGAAAATAACAAATGGAGGCTCCTTGGGTTGTGGTATTCCTAACTACTCGTGCAAGTATGACTTTTGGATCATTGAGTACTACTATCTAGGCTAGTTATAGTGTAATTTCCTTATGCATTTGAATCCTACTTTCATAGTGATCAATTATACTCATAACTAATCCATACCTACTCTCATGGTTATGAAATTAGCTACAAGTTTATTGTTTCAATGAAATTACATGAAATTAATCACTAAAACCACATAAGTGCACCTTTACTCTCGTGAGTGTACTATCTATGTTTAGCACCTCTTGAACCAGTGTTGAATCTCAATTTTCATTGTAGAAACAATACCTTAGATAATCAAGATTAATGGTACCAGATTAATCATGATTTAAAGAGTTAAAGTGTTAAATAACTTGCTCAAATACTAGCAATCAAATAGCCAAATAATAAACACTAACAATCATAGGAAGTTCAACCAAACCCAAGGCATAAACTTTTAAGACACATCATAAACACAAAATCCAGAACTTGTATATTAACTAAACTTAGAATCAAGTACAAAAGATAAAGAGTTGGAAAGAAAAGTAACCCTTGTCACATGAGCTCTTCCCTTGCCTTCTTCATCTCCATCTTCATCTTTGCCTAGCTAATAAATAAGTAGGATGAACTATACCACTCTATATTCAACTACTAAACTAATTGAACTAAGAAAAACTAATGAGAACTACATTTTTGTGGAGTTTCTCTAGCCTCCCAAAGTTCTGAAAATGTTCTTCAAGGCTTATATTTATAAAGAATTTCTTGTAATGGACAAATGTTTTTTTTCATGTGTTGAGCCCATAAACAAGCTAAAATGGAGTTGTAAAGCTTATTTTGCAGCTATCTTGGGCTGTTTCGACCGATAATCTTGCAGGAAAGGTTGGTCAAAAAGTTTGTGTGAACAGAACACAAGTTGATAAGCCGAAAGTAGTGATCCGAGGGCTAGATCCGAGCTCGGATCGCTCAAATTATCCCTTGGATCGCATTTTTCTTCATTTTTTACCTTCACTGTTCATTGGGATTCGAGACCTGCTATAGTGGATCCGATCCACTTGTCCAGAAGATCAAACGAGGGCTCGGATCATATTGGATCCGGGTTCGGATCGCTTGCTCTGTTTTTGATCCACTTCAACTGATATTTTCTCGATGTTAGAGGCTGAACTAGCTCTTATGTAAAGCATGAAAGTTGTATATCTTTGAGTTAGCTTTCCAATGCATCAAAAATCACCTAATTTGGAGTTTCGTGGACTGATAAATGACCGAATTACCCTTGACTGGTCAGAAACTTGTTTCAGCTTCGACCATAGAAAATGTACTTCAATATTTTGACCTTTTGACTATGAAAACCACCGAACTGGACTTTAATGTCTTCATACCAAATGTAGATCTATTTCTTGGCTTCAAAATGGTATAAGAATCACCTCAATCCGATCATTGTCACTCAACATATTGCCAAAATACCACAAGATGTCAAAGCTATGAAACTCCTTTTCTTTAGAACTTGATTGCATTTCATCTCTTGCATTTCATATTCTCTTTTTATTACTTAAAACCATTGTCAATCATCCAATTCTGTTCTCAATTTATGTCATTTGATGATTGTATCATTAAACCTACAAAAACATGAAGTTTTCACCACAAAAATCCATAGAAATGTAATTTTTAACACTTATACCCCTAAATGCATATTTTCACTAAAATCTTAGTTAATCAACTATAAAACTAATTAAAACACACCAAAACTAACTAATAAAACACACTAAAAACACATAAACTATGCACTTATAAAAAACATTTGGCGATCGAGTCAAGTTTTGGGTTACAATCAATGAACCACAAGTGTTCGGTCAATTTGGATACAAAATGGGACTGTAAATACCGGACCAACTGGATTATCCTTTCCGTGCTATTCATAATATCATACTAGCTCATGCTACTACTGCTAAAGCTACAAGGAGAATTACCAGGTGATTTCGTTAGAGATTTGTTTAAAGAATTTTTCTAACAGGTGTCCTATGAACACTTATTAACATATTTAACAATCACCTAACTTACCATTCTATATAAATACTAACAATTATTATCCTCTCTTGGATATATGTACTTTTTTTATTTAATCTTATCTACCCTACCTTGTATTTAATTACTTTTTTTTAATAAATCTTACGTTTCCAAAAAAAATATGACACATGAAATATATATTAATGAATGCCCTGTGAGTACATACCTGTTAGACAGACCCTTGTTTAAATTGCCTTTTAGCAGGTAAGGTATGTGCAAGGCCTTGAGTCTAGAGCCATGCATGCACACGATAAATTGTGCACATATCTTCCTACTCTAGCCCTCAGTTAGTCTTCTTCATGCGTACTAAATTGTGCTTTATTTCACTGATTAACACAACGTAAAATTACAAGATTCCTTTACTAATTACTAGGTACTGAAAATTAGCGGAGCTAGAACTCTGTAGGCGCAAGATTTAGCTGCTCTCTATTTGTGATAGAATGGAATCAAAATTTTTTACTTTTACAGTTCACGGTGTACCTCTAAATTTCAAATTGTTCTCTTGAATTTACAATACAAAACATACTTGTAGTTGAAACGAAAAATTCAAAACCTTTTTCCTACATGAAAGTGACATTAATGTTTAATTTTGAATCGGTCTTACACCTATTAGAGGTAATCAATAGAAAAATTTTGTTCTTTTAAGGGCTCAATGTAGATAGATGACTAAATTTTACAAATCTTCGAAGGATAGTAATCTACATAGAGAAGGAAATTCTTTTTTTTTTTTAACAGGAATGACTGCTTTTTTTTTATTGATAGAAACAAATGTTACACACGGAGAAAGACCACTTCGAAGTACATCAATCAACTATAAAGGCAATAAATCAAACAAAAAATCTGCATTCCCCATTCAACAACAAACTAGCTCCAATTCTCCTTTATCGTCATCCTTTCATACGCCTAATTTTCTGAATTGAAGGCATCCCTAATCTGTCAAGACGAATTGCTCCACGAGTCATGCTTGGGAACGTATTAAAGGACTCACATAACTTGACTTGATGCTCTGGATGAGATACACCCACATTGGACAACGCATTAGCAACTGTGTTAGCTTCCCTGTAACAATGCGAAAAACGATCAGGATCTTTTACGAACTGCCAAATCTGCCTAATCTCTCGTCGAATCTTCCAGGGGCACTGAATGCGTTGCTGAAGAATTCCAACTAATACCAAAGAATCCGATTGAATATAGAGATTTCCAAAACCCCTATGTACACATGTTTGAAGACCAATAAGGAGGGCCCGAACCTCTACACATAGGCTTGTAGTTTCCCCAAGATATGCCGAAAAGCCAATCAAAGGTATGCTATTTGAATCCCGAAGAACCCCACTACCTCCACCCACTCCTGGATTACCCTTAGAACATCCATCCGTATTTAGTATGAACCGACCGGATTCCTTTGTTTCCCAACGAACAAGTTTGTATGTAACCCCAGTATGAGATGAATACGGCCAATCATACAAATGATAAAATGAATGTACTCTGAACACTTATTTGAAATGATTTCCCACCATGGTCTGGATATCCAAGAAAATGGCAAGATAAATGGTAGGCGACCTCATCTGGACATCCTCAAACATTGCTTTATTTCTTGCTTTCCAAATCTGCCAACAGACTACACTGGGAAGAATGTGTCCAATAAATCGTCATATCTCAGAATCATGTGACCTCAACCACCAACCCACAATACGGGAACGCAAAGATGACCCTGGAAAGGCCAATCCACATGAAGCTCCAAAATAATTCCAAACTGTGGATGCTATATGGCCATTGGAAAATAAATGTTCAATTGACTCCTCAGATGCCGAATAACAGCAAAAACACTTTGAGGGTAAATGTAAACCAAGTTTACATAACCTATCCGGTACCGGCAGCCTCCCCAGCAACAATCGTAACATGAAGAATAAAACTTTCAAAGGGAGCTAAGGATGCCAAATTCTATGAAAAACCATAGACTTGTTACGGGCTTGCCTAATATCTTGAAATGCCGAAGAAAATTCATTGTAAGGAGAGGTGGGAGGCAATGTAACTGCAGAAGAGAATTTTACAAAAAAAAAAAAAAAAAAAAGGTTACAAACATGGTGTAAGTAAATTTAGATCTTTCAAAACTTTAAACACCATACTTTAATATTATCTATTTTAAAAGGGCCAATATTCCTCCCTTTCTACAGTTTATTAAACTTGTGTTGTTATTTTTCCGATGAATGCAGCCAACCCAGAAGGGAGAGATTGGATCTTCATTGGTCACAGAGTGGTTTGAGCCAAGTGATGAATCCAGGGATGCCAGAGAAGCAGCAGAGAGGGCGTTGGACTTTTTAACTGGATGGTCAGCAATTCTTGATTACAAAATTACAATAGGGTAGAATTCATCAGCATTATTACCACATACCATCTATCCTTCTGATCAGAATTTCAATTAATACAATAATAGGATGTTGGAACCACTGGTGTTTGGAGAATTATCCATTCATCATGAAGGCTTTGGTGGGAGATGCGTTCCCAAAATTCACAAACGACCAAAAAGCATTAGTCAAAGGGTCGTATGATTTCATTGGTGTCAATTATTATACTTCAAGTATACAACCAGATCAAACGTACACCAGTATTGCCCAGTTCCAACACGTTGACATCAAAAGGAAGTATACTTGCACATATAAATAAATTAATTAAAGGGTTTTAAGCTAACGAACAATAATTTGATGTATCCTGTGATTTTTTTTTTTCAAAAAAAATTGTTTCTAACTAAAATGTTACTTTCCTTTTTGTATGTTATACAGCTGACAACACGAACGGAAAACTCACAGGAGAAAGGGTAATTACTTATCCATTATTCATTGCTCATAGGTGAACTCTTTTTGAAAGGAAAATCCTACTCTAAATGATGTATGACTATATAACAGTTACAAATTAAATAGTGGTTCGTCTTCTTGATTTTAAAAATTTTTATAACGTGTCATGATTTTCTATCGCTTTTTGTAGGTGAACTCTTTTTGAAGGAAATGTTATTTGAGCTACTTTTCTTTTTAGTGATATCTAGATGGCTTAGTAGCTATTGTTTACCTAATAATCATTGGCGAATTTAGGCCCCAAGCAGTGAAGTTTTTGTGTACCCGCAAGGTTTGGGGCATGCTCTGGAATACATAACCAAAGAATACAACAAGCCCAAGGTATACATAACTGAGAATGGTTAGCTTTCATTTGATTTGCTATATTTCCAAAGACAAAGATAAATGAGAACTTGAAGTGTACGAATAATGAACTTGACAAATTCTCTAGGCTATCCGCAAGCACGAGATGATTCCATCCCAATCGAGACTACTCTCCAGGACGATGCTAGAATTCAGCATATTCTTACTCATCTCCGAGTTGTTTCAGAAGCCCTGAAGTAAGTTTTTTAGACATTTTATTTCCAATTTCTAGATTTGTTTGACGCAGCTATAACACGCACATTTCTTGTTACACAAGAATAATATGAATTATTATACGTGTGCATATTGTGTGATTTTTTTTTTGGAATGGCATGGTTAAAAGTTCAGCTGGAAAGTATGAATTTGGCAAGGTTTACATAAAAAAAGTACACAAACAATATGAATATGTTCAAAAATTAAGAAACTAGAATTATCGGTTTGTTTAATATGAATTTTAGGTGTTACACAATATCAATAGTAGATTTTACTCATATTCTTGTGTATGAGGTATTGAATTAGTTATAGTTTCATCAAATAATTGATATTATATGCGTATATACGAAAGAAGTACAATACAACTCTTTGTTGTTTTTTGCATGACTTATAAACTACATATTTATCTTAGTAGAAGTTTCAAAATTTGGTCAGAAATTGATGTATTATGGGTGAAGTATAAAAATAGAAATACTTTATTTTGGGTTTTACATTTCTGGTTAAAAAGTATGAATATTTTTTAAAATATTTGAAGAATATACCCAGTACACGAGCTTGTAAAATTATATTTACGAACATGTTTTATACAGATTAATACAAATTTTTACTAACTGTTATCTAATTTATGGGTTTTTTTACTTGTCTTTCAGGAAGGGAGTAAATTTTAAAAGTTATTTTATGTGGTCATTGATGGATTGCCTGGAAATGGGCTCTGCTTATAATGTTCGTTACGGGCCTTGCGGCCTCTACTACACAGATTACAACACTTTAGACCGTATTCCTAAAAAGTCCGCCAATTGCCTAACTTTGACTTTAGCTTTTTCTCTCTAACTCCAATTCTTATTCTAATTCCGACTGCCTTCTTCATATGGCGTCACCTTATTTATAGATGTTTGGCGGACTTCAATGCCGGACTTGTATTGAGTTTTCCACGGACTTGTTCTTACTTTAATTCCGCGGACTTGAACAACATATTTTGAATTTCGGGAGTGTAACGTAAGTGCTTACGTCTTATTCCATGTTTTGACTGCTTGATGCCGTGTCCTTATCTTCTTTTTTAGTACATGAGGGTTTGTTTATGTGGTAAAAAGCATCCATCAAATATGGTTTCACTATTTAATTGTTTATAATTAATAACCATTCTAGGTTTATTTCTTATTATTTCAGCATGGTTTCTTACCATGAATGCAGGTGAAGAATGGGGAGAATTACTTTCTCTTATTAAAGGAATTTCTAATAATTCTTTAATTTTTTTTTAATTCATCTTGATCAGTAGGATTATATCTCATGGGTTTTACTCTAATTATTTTATTTTCATCTTTGAGTTTTATTTCAGCATAATCTTGATTTTTATCCCAAAATATAAGATTATCTTCTCATAAATATTCCCCTAATCCACAATGATTTCATGAATAATCCCACTAATGTCATAAATGATCCCCTAATCCTCATAAATAATCCAACAATGTTCATAAACTATAGACAAAATAATGACGATGATTATATTTCAGACGAAGACTTTGATATAGATCCAGTACCTATTAGATACTTTAATAATGGAGTAGAAGTTGACGATTCTGATTGGCACTATCCATCTCCTTAAAAATAGAAGAATGTCAAATATGTGAGTCGATGTTATTCCTTATTAAAGGATATGCATATCAGTTGCAACAATTAGATAAAAGAATTTCTTATTATCAAGAAGAATGGCTTCATGTCACTTTGTACAATTGTAACCCAGTTACCTGCCATGATAGATGAATAATTTTATGAGATGCAGAACATAAAAAATATTTAATAACCAATAGATATGCAGAACTCAATAAAAAAGTGACATGAATTCTTACGAAAGAATAACATATTGTCTAGAATGTCAAAAATTTATTAGTCAAGAACTAGCAGCTAAAGCTAAAATAAATAGGGTAAGACAACTCATTGTTAGATATGCCTCTGAAGAAATAATATTAGAAGCATTAAATATATTATTAGACATTGAAAAAAGAAATTTAGAAACAATCGTTTCAAATTAAAATTTACATTTAATAAGAATGCATACATGACTTCGAACAACTATAAAATAATAGAACCTGGAAATTTAAAAATAGAGAAAGACTTATTTGAAATACAAAAAACAATGATATACATATATAAAGATTTAAAGAAAGAAATTCAATTAATTAAAGAAAAACTAGAAAAAATAGATTCAGAAGAAAAAATTATAGAAAAAAGAAATAAAACTACTATTGAATATTTAATAGAACATATCGCTAAAATAAAATGAGTGAGTCTGAAGATAATTTTACTTGCCTTTTAGATTCTGAGATAGAAAATATAAGTAATAAACTTAATAATTTAATGATAAATATAAAACTAGATATAAAACCAGAAATAAATCCAAGCGTAAATGATATACCTTCCACCAGTAGACCCGCATCCTCGTATGCTAGACGTTAACCTGGTTCAGGAAACCCTTTCATTTCAACTCTAATGAATATAGCAAAGTAAAAAGGCTATTTAGATAATGAAGGCTATACACTTTTAGATAGGACCACACCTGAAGCTATATTTCCTTTCGAAACATTTTTAGATTTAGACTGTGTAAAAAATACTTAAGAAGCGATAGATAAATGGGAAATTGGATTAAGATTAGTTGTTTCCATAAATAAATTATCATATGAAGAGTCAAAAGGATTTTTGGAAAGATCACTAGTAAATAGTGTCTCTCGATATTGGAAGACATTACCAGAAGAAACTAAATCATTAATATTTGGAGAAGAACAAGATATAAATAGTATGATAAACAGAGCACTTGAATTAATTCGCCTCGAATTTGTTGGTGAAGAAAGTTATTTTAAAGATGTTAATTCAGTCCAGAAATATACTGATGCATTACTTAAATTAACACTTTATGATATGTGTGAGGTAATATATTTGTGTTTTTCAAGATTATTATTATAGAACAGATTCTAAGAAAAGAGAAACATATTTAAAAATATTTTTCTCAAAAATACCTGACCCATGGGGTAAGAAATTAAGAGAAGAATATAATCCTGGAACTAAAGATACTCTAGGAAAAGAATATTCCATACACTAGACAAATTAAGTAAATGGTGTGAAGAATCAATACTTTTTAGAAAAACATGTAATCTAAAATATCAACTGAGACTATGTTGTAATAATATTAATATGCCTACCCAAATAGGATGTGATACTCCATATTAATATCATAAGATGAAAAATAAATATAAAAAGTGAAAATATTTTAAAAGAAAATATATGAAAGGAAGAAAAGCTAAATACTATAAAAGTAGAGAAAAATTTCCAAAGAAGAAAAAGATGTATAGAAGAAATAAAAGGAAAAGAAATATAACAGATTGTCAATATTATTTTTGTAAAGAAAAAGGACACTTAGCAAATCAATGTCCTAAAAAATTTAATAAAAAGAGATTTGAGGTAGATGATGATATTGAAGACTTGATTAATAATAATGAATTAATAGAAATAAATAAATTTCCAAAAATAGAGGAGGTTTCTTCCGATGAAGTATATTTATATGTACAGATATGGAATACGAAATAAGCAGTGAAGATGAGTGAAATAGAAGAAGAGAAAAATAACTCTCCTGAAATAAAAGATATTCATTCAGAAAAATTAGGTGAATATAGTCAAGAAACACTTATAGATAGAAAAATATTAACAAAAATTCAAAAAAGTAATTTTTCAATAAATTCTTATAGTGGATTTAATGTACCTGCATTAGAAAAAATAAAATTTTATCTAAGAAAACACCATATGTTCTATGGAATAAATCTTAAAGAAAAAGCACTAGAATTTATCCTTACTACAAATAAAATAATGATTCCATTAATATCTAAAAAAGATATTTATAGCAAATTAGAGAAAATACCAAAAAAAAATAAGAGAATCAATAGGATGGATTCATATAGGTTCTATCCAAATTATTATTAGATCTACATTTAGAGAAGGCTTAAATACACCTATAAATCTTGCTATAGTTGATAATCGAATAAAAAATAGAGAAGAAGCAACTCTTGGTATCCTTAGAGGAAATTTTAAGTATCAAAAATTAATTTTTAATATATATCCAAAAATTTCTTATAATATATAAGATAAAGATTTTGATAAAACACTTTCCTTAATACAAGATTTCAAAAGAAAAAATTTCTTTTTTCAATGGAAATAGACCATATTCTATTACATATATGATTTCATATGCTTTATTAAATACCCATCATACTGAACATTTTTCAAATACTGAATTCATTGATCTCCCTAAATTATTTTCCGAAGTAGGAAAAATATATCCTCCAGAAATTACTAATATAGAATTAGATGAGGAATTCAATTTAGACATAAGTCAAAAGCCCCTATTAGATAAGCCAAATGCCTTGTTACCCAAATTATCCTATGCAGGAAAAATGGTTAGAAGTAATTCTTACCGTTTACCGAATATGAATACTAATCAAAAAATAACAACAAATTATAGAATAGAAGCTAGATATTGGAATAGAAAAAATATGACAAATTGTAATATTTTAATAGATACAGGAGTTAATGGAAATTATATAACAAAGACTGTAGAAACAGAAATTGAATTAACTGGTAATCGAATTCCTATTCGACTTCTAGTTAAAAATGAAGGATTTAATAATACCCTTGAAATAATGTTAGGAACAAGTTTTTTAGATTCAGTATCCCCTTATAATATAACTTCAACTGGAATAGTTATCACCCATAATGATAAAAATATATATGTAGAAAGAAAATGACAAGTCAATATAGTATTTATATTCCTATAGGAATAACCTATAAAGATTATAAAGCTGAATATTTTGCAGCATATATTGATAGTGGATCAGGAACATGTTTATGTAAACCTACATGCTTTCCACCACAATATCATGAAATATTACCTGACCGAACAGGAATTGATATTTCTAATAACCCTATTACTTTAAATTCTGGAATATCTAAACCTCAGATATTATTTAGTTCATTCCTTGTAAAATGTCCCCCATTTTACTTCTATGATACAGGATTAGATATACTTTTAGGAAATAATTTCTTCAATTATTTCATAAAGTTTTATTTGATACTTTACAATCTCAAATACATTTTAAAACCCCTTGTGGCCATTGGATGGTAGTTTCCCGACTTAAAAATGCTTATGCTGCTTAAAATTCCTATCACTTTTCATACTCGTGTAGGTCAGCGTGGTGATATTGGATATTCAGAAAAATCAAAAATACCAAAAGGAAATTCTATGTTAAAATTTGAAAAACAATTACATTTAAAACAACTACAATTAAAAACTATATCTACTACTCTAGAAGATATAAAAGAAAAATTACGATTAAGTTATACAGAAAATCCTATTAAATTTTGGGATAAAAACCAAGATTATGCTGAAATAAAACTCAAAGATGAAAATAAAATAATTAGAGTAAAACCCATGAGATATAATCCTACTGATCAAGATGAATTCAAAAAATAAATTAAAGAATTATTAGAAATTCCTTTAATAAGAGAAAGTAATTCTCTCCATTCTTCACCTGCATTCATGGTAAGAAACCATGCTGAAATAATAAGAAATAAACCTAGAATGGTTGTTAATTATAAACAATTAAATAGTTAAATCATATTTGATGGATACTTTTTACCACATAAACAAACCCTCATAAATATGAGTAAAAGAAAGAAAATATATTCTAAATTTGATTGTAAACTCGGATTTTGGCAAATAAAAATGCACCCTAATAGTATTAAATATACATCATTTAGTACTCCTCAAGGACAATATGAATGGTTAGTTATGCCATTTGGATTAAAAAATGGCCCTCAAATATATCAAAGAAAAATGGATAAAATCTTTAAAGATTATCGTTTCTTATATGTATATGTCGATGACATATTAATAGCTTCAGATTCGATAGAAGAACATTTAGAACATTTAAATATATTCTTTGATTTATGTTTAAAACATGGAATCGGCCTATCAGAAAAGAAAGCAAAAATAGGACTGAAAGAAATTGAATTTTTAGGATTAGAAATAAATGGTGAAGGAATAAAAATACAACAGCATATTTTGGAAAAAATACAAGCATTTCCTGATAAATTAGAAGATAAAAAACAATTGCAAAGATTTTTAGGAATGTTAAATTATGCATCTGATTTTATTTGTAACTTAGTAGATAAAAGAAAGGAACTGCAAAAATCATTAAAAAATAATAATAAATATGAATTTTCTGAAAATCATATTGCTTTAGTAAAGAAAATAAAAGAGCAATGTAAAAATTTACCTTTTTTAACTTTACCATCTGATGAAGATAATCTTATATTAGAAACTGATGCTTCTGAAGAAGTTTGGAGTGCAGTTTTAAAGACAGAAAATAATTTATTATATAGATATGCATCTGGAATATTTTCAGATACTGGAAAGAGATATCATATAAATGAGAAAGAATTACTTGCTGTAATAAGAGGTTGTCATAAATTTTATTACTTTTTATTACCGAAGAAATTTAAGTTAAGAACTGATAATTCTAAAGTGAGAGCATTTATTAAAAATAATATTAAACCTTT